ATTAATGCATTTATAATTAATTTATTGTATGCACAGTCTTCAAGCTGAAATAAATGTAGCCTCCTGCATGACACAAGTTTTTCCTTCTTCTCTTTTTTTTTTTGAAACTGGAGCTGGATGGATACAATTTGCCTGTAACCTAATTTCAGCAGAAATATTTATATTGATCGAAAGGGGCCCGATCATGCTGGGCCAGAATACAAATCGGCCGGGTGATTGATGATGATGATGGCCGAGTGTCAGGACGAATGCTTTGGACCAAAAGTATTCGCATTCTGCAAGTCACTCGAAATTCGAGTCTAAACGGCGGCAAATGGCAAACGATGAAAATCCTGGCAAAAGTCACATACATTAGAACGCATTAAAGTGTAACCAGAAAGGGGCGAGTCCTGCAGCGGAAAGGCGAAAGGAAAGAATGGAGGAAACCCCTTGAGCCTTGCCTTTCCCGCCGGCAATTGTTGCAATTGTAAGGCAGCGATTTCGTGAAAAAGCTACACTGGGAGAAATATATATAGGTCTTAAAGAAAGATAGATATTTCTACCTTATAGATTGCTTTTAATAATTTATACAAATGTTATGGATAGCTTTTTACAACAAGTTGCACAAGTTTTTAAGACTAACTTAAACCTGGCTTATGCTCTTAAATGAAACTTTTATTTAGTATATATTTTTTAAATATTCTACATATTTAAAGAGTCATAAAAATGAAAGACGGATGCTGCTCCGTAAGCATACATTTTATTTATTAATCGCATTTTCTAATATTTTAGCAGCAGTTCCTTATTAGAACTTCTAACAGTTAACCTATAAAATAATATACTCTTTATATTTACTTTAAATTCCTTCTACAACCAACTGAATCCTTGTTTCCAGTGCAGTCTAATAGAAGCAAACCAGAGGTAGCATATGAAAAGAGTCCTTAGTCCAGGCTGCGCACCCATAACAAACAAATCAAGAACAAACAATTGCCGGGGATAATCTGTTGCTCACCAAGGATTAGCAGGCACTTCCTTTCTTGTCTCTCCCTCTCCCTTTAACCATATGCAAATGCCAAGGGCTGAGGACCAAAATTAAAGCATGAAAATTTATGAAAAGTATCTAGCTGAGAGTGCGGGTGCAAGGAAAACCGCAAGTCGGAAAACCGCAGAGAAAACCAGCGAACTGCTTCTGGTAAGGGCCCTTGTAATGGGTTTAAAACACCCCGTTTTTCATTTTTCCGTTTTCCGCCAAAGGAAACCTCAACTTCGGAGGCGTTTACCGTTCGTAGGACAGAAGGGGTTGACGTTGCTTCCCACAGAGAGGCAAACGGGATGATAACGAGTTGCGGGTTTACTCTGTGTGTGTTTTCGGGGCCCCGTCGTAAAACAGTAAATTGGATTAACTTCTGTGACATTTTCCAGCCGAAAGTCAAAATGGGATAAGACGATGCGCAAAGAGAAAGCGGGGAAAAGTGGGAAAATTAGTATAGAAATCGTATTGAGCCACAATCTAAGCCGGCTACACGCCCAGTTTTAAATGGCAAAGAAAATACTTACATCTGCAAAATATTTCATTAAGAAAGCCCCTTGGCAAAGAGAAGGCTCTGCTGTTGTGGGAACTGAGTAAAATTTTTAAGATTGCAGAAGGATACTGGGAACTAGAAGGATCATTAGGAAAATGTACTGAAATTCTAAGAGAAAGGAGAGAATGCACATACGTTATAAATAAGGTTTTCGATTGTATTAACTTAAGTTATGTATTTTAGGAGAACTTCTATAAGTTTTAAATTCTATTTAAATATTTCTTATAAATTCCATATTGATTTAATTTGATATTAAAAAGATTAATAATACTATGCAAAGGCTATAACAACTAAATTCCATATTTAGACTTGCATCATTCATCAAATATCTTTGCCACATCATATTATATTGGCGATACATAAACCGGCGTATGCTAATTCCACCATTAAATTTCAATTCCAATTTATGATACACCAAAGGGTAAGTATAGAGTCCCGCTTTAAGAGTCAGGGTTTTGAATATTCATGGACCGATTTATGGCCAGGCGTACTATCATCAACTGTCTACTCCGGCCATCAGGTGATACTGTGCCGGCGACTGCAACTATTCAATTTTGTAGATCTTGGGCATAAAGATGGCTAATTATAATTTATACTTAGCGATTAGCGGTGCGGCGGCAGCACGAGTGTAATTTCCAGAAACTAAGCTATTTATGATACATTAATCCCGCACATAGACTGCACTTGAAGAAATTTTAACGGAAGTCATGGCGAAGATTGAAAATATTATATTTTTAAGGAGATTCTTCTTTGATCTTTGCTTGATTTATATATACCCTATTGATATTAATCCAATCAGCTATATTAAGATGTTGAAACATATCATTGAAATATATCTATATCTAAGTTTATAAAACTTTGAAGAAAATATACAAATTTAAAAGGCACATTCTTGCATATCGCATCTCTAGTCTCATATAAAACACAAACAGATATCAAACTACATTTCAAGTAAATACTATTTTCTTTAAGTGCATCCCCATGTTTGTCTCTCTTTCGCGCCAGGGGGCGCCAGCTAACAATGTTAGTAATATCGTAAAATGCCTTATGGCTATCAGCAGATATCGCATTTAATGATCGAAACTGTGACAGCTTGACAACTGCCAAGCGGGCGAAAAAACTAGTGGAAGATGCAAAAAAATTAAAAAAAAAAAAAAAAACAAGCAGAGGAGACCGTTAGTTAGGAAAACTCCATCACTCGCCCAGTGACTATGGCCCTCTCTTTCTCAGTCACCCTCTCTGTCTTTCGCACTTTCAATCCAGTTCGCGTGGGGAGGGAAAAATTAGAGGGGGGCATTGGTGTCATCGATAGACCACGCCCACCGCCAGCCGCTAATACGATTTCGATTGAATGCGTCTGTGTGGAGCGATCGCTCTCATTGATCGCTCTCGTTCGTATGGGTGCCTCTCGCCCAGCTGCCCTGCATTGGTCAGCGAAACGAGAACATATATGTGTGCCGGGTGTATATAGCAGATAGGCGACGGCCATATAGTCCGGTCTCGTTTTCGCCCACGGCAAACGGGATCGGATCGCTTAACTATAACACCCGACGACGACTGGAGCACGATCACTATGTGCCGTGGTGTTGGTGAATCCCGCTCTCGCTGACCGAATACTGATACACTCGCCGCTCTCCCAGAGTTGTCGGTGTGAACGAGTGAGTTGGCATACTGGTTATAACGGTGCTCCGATTGTGTTAATCGAGCCAATCAAATGTGGTAATGCCCATATGATACAGTAATGCAGTTTTCATTAATTAGCTACTTCATTAGAACCTTGAAAGAGTCAGCTATATTGTCATTTTGTTTGGATTTTGCTTGGATTTTGCTTGGATTATTTTGGTAATACGACTACGGTCACACCGACCGTAAAAGGTAAACAAAAAAACGGCCGCCATTCGCGGCGTATTATTATGAATTTCTGAATTCCTCGTCGAAGTATTATTGCATAAATAAATGCAGAATCCTTTAAATTTATGTTTTTAACCTATAATGCTTAAAATTTTTTTAATTATTACAAAAAAAATAATTTTAATTAATTTTACTGCGCTAGAAACTTGCTACTGCAAAACATATTATTTTTGCTAATTTTCTAATATATTTTCAGTTCAAAAAACAAGCGAAATGATATAAAAATAAAATTCTCATTGTGAGACCATACTGTCAATGAGCTGGCTAATACATTTTTCAATTACAATTTTCTTCATTAAACCCGTATTTTGTTATCGAGTATCTAGTATATAATATGTAGATCTATCGATTATCGCGGCAATGAAGTAGCTAATGCATTATTCTAATGCATTAGAGCGCCATATAGTCGTCTTGCTCGCACTTGTGTAAAACGCTATAGCGCTGTCAAATCTTTAATGAAGTCTCTAATTAATGCGGCAGTGTCATCCCACTATAACGAATTCCCCGAGCAGCTCCCAAGGGAGTGTGTGTGTGTGTATGAAGCACTCAAATGCCACACAAAATGGTGAGAGAGCGAGTGAGTGCGGCTTGAGCAGGTAGTAAAAATCAATGAATTTATGGGTAAGACTATGAATATTGTATTTAAATTAAAGTTTTACTAATAGAAATAATTTTTAAAATATTTTTATTATTAATATAATTTTCATTTTGTAATTTAGGGTTTCCTAAAAAACAACATATGACATTATAAAACCTTTGAAAGTAAGCCATACTTATGGTTAAAATTTAAATGAAATCTTTTTAAAACTCTAAATTTAATAAGTACTTTGATGATTGTTTATTATTTTTTTAGTAAATCTCTTTTTAAATGTATTTTAAATTGAAAAGTAAATATAAAATCTGAATAAGCAGCATTTACTTATTAATTATATCTCTCTAATGTGCAACTGCAGATCTTAAATATAAATTTAGTATACTCAGTTTGTTGATGAATAAAATTTTAAAATGTTAATTGGAATCCCTTAAAATTTTAAGTAAAATTTTTGTATTCCTTCTTTAAAACTCTTGAAAAATGTATAAAACTAGGAAGTAAACTATGAAAATTACACCCTATTCTAAATAAAACTCTTTTTAAAAACTGAGTTCAATATTTATTATCACAAAACATTCGACTCAAATGCGACTCAATGCCTCAACTCGGCTCTGTTAAGCCTTAACAGCACTCAAATACTCGGCTCAAGCCGGCTCTCAGAGTGGCTCTCACTCTCCGTGGCTTACGGGGGTTGAGTACACCTGGGTATCAACCGTTAGAGAGAATCTTCTTCCTCACACACACACTCACACAGGCAGAGAAGCACTCGAGCCGAGTTTGTCGCTTTTGCAGTCTTTTGTTTTTGTTACCGCTTCTTCTTCCTCCCCATCCACTACCGCTGCGACCAGTTTGTAGTTTTTGTTTATAGTAGTATCATCTCCCCAGTTGTTGTTGTTGTTGTTGCTGCCGCCGCTGCTGCTGGCAGACTGGCAGAGTCTCTGTGATAGCTCCGAAGTTCCAACTCAGTTAGCTACCGAGCGTCGCTGTTGTTGCTGTTTCTGCGCTGCTTTCAGCTGCTGTGCTCGTCGCTCGTTCGTCCGATTCGGATGATATTGCCAAGCATCGAGTCCGAGACCGAGTCCGAGTCCGTATCCGAATCCGAATCCCAGAGCCGCGATCCGCGAGGTCTGAGCATTTTGCAGAACCGCTTAACATCAGTCTTTAGTGATAGCTCGCGCTTCTTGCTCGCACGCTCGATCGCACGTCGCCGCTGTCGCTGTTGCTGTCGCTCTTGTAGCTCTCGCTGTTGTGTGTGCCGCCGCTAAAAACAAAAACAAATCCCGGATAATGCTCTAAATAATTACAATAAAATCAAAAGAAATGATTACATTACATAAATTACTGAGCTAATAGAAACAAACAAATATAAATTGTTGCCAGTGAAAAGCGGAAACAAATGCATTAAAACATTGCTAATAAATAGTTGAATAAATTATTTTATAAAATAAACAAATATAATAAATTGCAGCACAACTATAACTATAAACTTTAGGCAAATTTATAATATATTCCCAAGCCAAATTTAAGCCTCACTTGTGATATTTCCCCCTGCTAAAAAACACACATACACTCACTCAGACCCGCAGATATATGGGCAGATATATATTAAACATGCTTCACGCTCGCCTAAAGTTCTAAAAGTCAAGTGCAATTTAAGCAAAAGCCACAACAACAACAACTCTATACGCTCAAGTGACGTTTTATTGGCGCAAGGTGAACAAAAAACAAAAAATAGAAAATTTAAAAAATCCAAAAACAAACAACAGAGGAGAGTTCAGAATGTTGGAAAGAGCCAACCCTAAATGATTTTTATACTTAAGCCGCAAGTGCGCAAAAAAACGAAAACTAAGAGAAACCAGAAAACTTTAATCAAAAATAAATTGGATTAACTTGGAGGGCTGACACGGCCAGTAAAAGGAGGTGAGTTCAAGGGGTCACCAGCGACATGGGGGGAGGGGGCTCAAACGGAACGATCGTTTCGGCTTCTTCGAGACACATCCATCATGCGAACATAAAAATGGGGACTGTGATGGGGATCACAGACGGAGGAGAGTCTCAGAGTTGGGGAACATGTGAATTTCATTAACGAATAGAATTCATAAAAAACAAAAATAAAAAAAAAATCAAAAGGAAGATGGCGATGCCAGATAACGCTTGACAATCCGACTAACTGACGAACTGTCCGCGACTGTCGCGCTTTGTATGATTTAATTATACAGGCCATATAGACACACACCTATACGGGAGATGAGACGACTTTTGTGAGAAAGTTTTCTCTCGCCGCTTTGTTGACCAGTGCACTTTTTAGTGTGGCCATAAAACCTGGCTAGATCAACAGGCACAACAGCCCCAACAGCCAGAGCAAGGGCAGGGCAAATAAACTTTACGACTATATAACAGAATCAATGTAAGTCAAGTGCGAGCGAGATATAGACACAATATCCATATAGTCGCCGAACACACATGTTTGCTTTATAATGCAAATAGCGTGTAAAGCTTTATTTGCCAGAATATTTGTTACAAAAATCCAAAAAGCAGCCAAGATCCATGGGAATGGCATTAGGTAAAACACTGAACGAAATTAAGCGAGGGAATAAATAAAGAACCTCCCACGATCTAATTGTTAAAGGCCTTTCATTCATTAAAATCATGACCCCGATTGGATTTATTAATAAACAATTGGAAAAACGCAAGCTTTACATTCTCTGAATAATTTACATTTCAATCTGGATCCCAATAATACTACAACCAACAGGGAAAATTGATAGTTAAAGCTTGTTATTATTTTAATAAAATAAACAAAGGCTTAAGGAACTATAGGGCTTAAATTTCTTTATATTTTTTATTGAAAATTTGTTTCTACAAGCAATCAAAATATGAAGATTTCTCATTGCTAGAATTTCTCCAAGTGCACTTAGCTTGGACTCGCTTGCAGGCCAATGAAGAATCTAACTTGGATTGCTTTTACATGTGTCGCAAATATTGACAAAGCCTATATACTCGTACTTATGGCGAGTGCCTTGTAAGTTTGCTGTGTTCTACAACCCGCCGAGTGTGCACTTATTCTAGTTACCTGGGGCAGACAATCATCTTTACAGGTTGTTTTTTGCTAGCACCTTTCGAGATCACAGCCCAAGCCTTTTTCCTGGCCCCGTTCCAAGATCCCAGGACACTGGGAAGAAAATATGCTATTTAAATGTGGTTTAAATGAGATGTAGATCACTATTCTGGGCTTAAATCGATTTAAATAGTATAATTTCAATACAAATCATCAGGCAGGTATACACAAATCTATGAATTTATAAGTCAAATAATAATAATAATTGAACCATTAATAAATATTATATAATGGGACAGGCAGACCACATGATATGGGCTTATAATTTACAAGTTAGCAAGTTAAATTTGATTACTGGCTAAGTTTCTACTATACAGCCACACGCGAGTTCCTTTTCTACGGAAATATTTTCCATAAATAACTACAACTATTCAATAAGTAGAACCTTTATAAAACCTTCCTTTAATTGCATAAAGTTTGATATTGAGACAAAATTAATTTCGTAACAAATATATTACTAAAAAATTGACTGAAATTAAGACTTAAACAAAACAGATCTATGAATCCAGATTTCTTTTTTAAAAGTGTACCTGGACAGATGACGTCTCAGAGTAGGCTGGGAAATTAACACATCAAGGTCGTGTGCTGACTTAAACATCCTTAAGGGGTCCGAGGCCGGAAGACAACAATCGCGGTGCCAAAGGAGAGCGGCAGAGCAGAGCAGAGCAGATCTTCGAGGAGGGGGCAAAGTGTGAAAGTATTTAGTACGAACGCGTTAACAGCGGCAGCAAAACAAGCGTACGAAATATCAAATGCAAATGTGGCAAGCAGGCCGCAGAAAACACCTGTTGTCAGTTAACATGTAATCTCGTTGGCGGGGATCCGACCTGGCCGAGTCTTCTTCATCTGCCTTCGGCCAGGAGTGTGTCTCGGTGACTCACGTTCCGTGGGGGGGTTCTGGTGCACTGCAAGATGTGAGGCAACAGATTGTTATGTTGATTCAACGGCCGCTTTTTAGGTGCAGCTAAGCAGCTTCGTTGTAAAAATCGTTATATATTATTTGCTATTATTATTATTATTATTGGCTGGCAGCGTTGAGCGATCTAAATGTCAGAAAACTATGCTGATTTGGAGCGGATCTTCAAGTGGAATTAAATGTGTGCGGTTCAAGATCAGTTCAGAACAAATTATGGTTATCATAAAAGAGTCGATAAATATCTATTGGCTAGAAGGTATTTCTTTGTAAAGACAATAAATGTTGCATGTAGGCATAGAAATAAGTTTTAGTAGAGCTTTAAGGAATGTGTCTCTAAAGAGTTATAGATTTTAAAGAAAAGATTCAGTACTATATTTTATAAATACATTTAACTAACCCAATTATTTCCTCTTACAGACCTTGCCGTTGAGCACTCTGCGCTCAGCGAACCCCGACTACCATAATGATGAATCAGGATAATCCATATGCGGTAAGCCAACTCGAATTTTATACAGATTTTATAGCAAGATATGCCCCCAACAATAAACACGAATAAAATAAACAAAAAAATGTATATTTTACGAGGCAAATATTGAGCAAAGTCGTAAAAATATTTTACGACAATAATAATTTCATATGCGACATCATGAGGGCAAGACAATTTGTGCGTTGATAACATATATATGATATGGCCCCAAAAGCATCAGCAAATCAAAGCGCTTCCGCATTTTCGAATATGGGCGCAAAATGAATTTATGAATTATGGGGTTTGGGGGCATGCATAATTGCCCAGCAACAACAATGCGACAGAAAGACTGAAAGACAGCGACGAAAATTGTGAGTAGCCTAAACCAGTTTACACAGAAATCTGGCTAACAGCGGCGAAAATATTTAAATGATGTCATAATTTAAATAGGAGAGAAGAAAAAATAAAACTCATAATAATCATAATACAAATACGAACTACGTCAAGTATATCCCAAGAGTCACCTGCTCTCGGCCTTTTGTCTTCGGTCCCGGCTTGAAATTAATGCAGATCAATTAGTTAATGCTAAGCGAATTGCGTCGTCTCTCTCCCCGAGCAATCCACATGCATAATTTAAGGCTTATTGTCTAGGAGGAGGGCAGCCTCCGAAATTTTCGGAGACGAAGAAAACACCTAAGTTGCTGCTAACATGGCACTAAATGTCAATATTTGAATATTAAATTTTATTTAAGTGCGTTTTTTATGATTTTAAGCTGATTTTCGTTTAGTCGATCAGTCGGCAGATGCCGGCAGATGCCAAAGAGACTCCGAAGCTGAGGCTAAGCCAAAGCCAGGCCAAAGCATAAAGTAAAGTCACAGATCTCACAGCCAAAAGAGGCGGTCCCGAGGTAGTGTTAATTAGCTGAAATGTGAGACGATAAACTAAATGTTTGATTAAAATGAAGGCAACAACAGCGGCTCGAATTTGGGCCACATTTCTGTAGATGTCGCTACCTCTTGGAGCGGCAAGTTGGTAGCATTAGTCAATAAATTTATGAATATGAAACAAGTCGAGAGCTGCTAAGGAATTCCACGGGCAAACAGAAGCACAAGGAGTAGGAATTCGAGGTAAATTATTCGGAATTTGGAATGGTCTTTCAATTGGTCTCAAATTTGAGTTTATTAAAATAAGGTGAAAAACATGAAATCGATACCATAGTTATTTATGAATATTAGAAAATAATATTAATAAATTCAAACATGGCAAAAAAATTTCAGAAAAAATGGCATCAAATTTCTGAATAGCTATCATTATTTATGCATATTAGAAACGAATAAAAATAAATTCCAATTAATATTAAATATACACACAAAGCGAGGCGGATCAAGTTACTATAAGGCATTTAATAGGGATTAAGAATGAGACATTAATAATACGGATCAAGCTAAAGGAATTATAGAATTTATATAAGAAACTCTTTAATTTACATATATTTCTATAAAGATAGTCCTTCATCTATTGAGAACTTTTGGTCACACAAAACCATGAGAAAGATACACAAATCTGCATTAGCTGACCATAAATGTACGGGGCATTTTAATGTTCTCGCTACATCTCCATATTGCCACGACCTTCGATACAATCACGCCTCCGAAATCCCGTTGATGACACGACGCTGCGGAAAAAGAAAACTAATTTCCAGCGGGGGGAGAGAACTGGGGGGCGGGCAGAACCGCCTGAAAATGCATTACAATGTTGTGATGTATGTGAGAGAAGCTCATCTGACTGCAAGACCAAGACTCGGTTCCCATCTTCCATCCAACTTCGGTCCGACTTTTGGGGCACACGCATCTGGGGGCTTTGGCAAATCTTTTCTATTTGCATTGGCAGCAGATGAAGAGGCTGCTGCTGCTGCTGCTGCCATGGCTTCTACGGCTGCTGACCATTTTGGTCATAAACATTTGCGTAATGGATTTTTTTCATATTTTCGTGTGTGTCGTTCTCCTTTGCGGCTGCCAGCGGGCAAACACACAAAGTAAATTAATTACGAGCCATGCCAAAGTGCATATTTCCACGTTGGAAAATTCTTTCAAACGGCAGCGGCAGTGGCAGACAAACAAAACAAAAAATTAGTTATAAATGCCAAAAAAAAAAAAGAAAAACTAAGTAAGGGAAACAGAAGCAGCAGGCAAATTAGCGAGAGTCCAAAATCTTACACACACCGAAATGTAATTACTGCACTTACCCGGCGACTCTCTTGTGGCTTTGTTGCAATTTTCGTGGTCGGAAAAGTTACCAGAGATGCCGGAGGAGCAGAGCGGGCTCCGTGTGTAAGCCATTTTTCACATGCGTAGCCAGTTTGGAAGCGAACACGCTTTGAGGACGACGACGACGACGAGATGAGAAGCTGTAAAAGTTGTCCGGTGTCGGCATCTCCTTCTCCTACTTCTCCTACTTGTTTTACCTCCTCGTTCTCTCTTTTTTTTTTTTTTTTTTGGCATGTGTATGTACATGTTGCGGTTGATAACTCAATTAGAATGTTAAATTTATGTTCGCAACAAGAAATTAACTTGCAATTAGAAAATGCCTGACTTGAAGCGAAAAACGTAACGAAACGAAAGACTTAGGACACGAACTTGATATGCAAGCAGCGGTGGGTTCAATGGGGAATCGGTGATGCCCTTTCTTGTTGAAGAGCTTTGGTATTGAATTATGTTTAAAATGTATTTCTATAATAAACTAAGTAGTATAAACATTTTACCTTATTAAAGGTTAATTTCTTTAAAAAAAATATTTAAAGTTTTTTAATGTATATTTGAGAAATATTATTTTGTAGAGACTTAAATTTGTTATTAATATATTCTAAATTCATTTTAAAAACTTTCTCTAATCAATTAGTCTCCTATTTCCCTTTTTTTAGATTATAACACCTACAAATCAAACTTAAAAATTAAAATTAACTTAATATAAAACATATTTGAAACAAACCGAATTGAATTGGAACAGTACCCTCCACAAGTGACCCCTAGTTATGCCTGGCACAAAACAAATTGAAACAATTTAGCAAACGAACCTAAAGACAGATACATGGATTCGTATAATTGCCACAGACCGAGTTCTAGGGTTATGGGCAAAGGGTATGGAGGGGGCTCTAGACAAGTCTATTGCCATGGTTCCTTATTTTTTTTTTTGGCCGAAAACTAATGATGATGATGCACTGCACGCATTTGCACTATTTATAATTCGTGAGCCGACGAGCGGATGGCGGAGGATTGAGTGCCAAAAGATCAATGATCAATCCTGGACTTGATGACTCTACTAGCCGAGTCCCGAGAGCGGCCTTAGAATTCGAGTATGTTGGCTGGCTGGCTGGCTGGCAGACAACTTCATTTGTTTGCAGATACATTTCACCGGCAGGGAACTGATGAACAGATGAAAAGATGACTTCATGTTGCTGGGCCTTTGATTTGGTGGGCCGTACATGTGTAATCAGTTTTCGGAGCGATTTTCTCCCGCAGCCCCAGCCGCTCGATGATTAATGAGCGAAATTAGCCAGTTACTGGCCAGGACTGCGAGAGAAGGCCCAAAGGCGCATGTTGAGGAACATTGCACATTGGCACTGGATTGCAGAAAAAGTTCTGCAGAGTTCGTTAGGCTCTTGCCAAATGACTTAGGCAGCGAACTTGAACGAACTACACACAATTACAGCGCTCTTAAAACTGAACTTCCTCCCGAAAAAGCAAAAAGAAAAAAAAAAAAAAAAAAAAAACTAAATCCAAACAAGAAGAACCAAAATTGATGCTGACTTTGGCTTCCATCGTATATGCATCATGTCATTATATCCGCTAACACAGCCAACTGGATAACCTTGACAAAAATCCTACAGCTGAATGCATTAGTAGTCCAAAAACGAACACAAAGCACAAGCAAAACTCTGGTAGAAGCGGCTGCCACTGGCAGAAACTAACGACTTGCAAATGCGGCCGGCACAAAACAAAACGCTATTAAACTTCTATTATTTAAGTACTACATTGTGCACTGATACTGAAAGCGAAAACGAAGAAGATCGTCGGTCAGCCGACGATAATGAGACCTCAGACCCCAGACCAAAGCCCAGAGACTGAGAGACCCAAAGACTTCGAGACTCGGAGACTCCGAGTTTCCAAGTTTCCGAGTCTCTACGTAGCTAACAGAGCAGAAATCCCAAAGCGACCGAGTACTTTTTTGCAAAATTATGCAATATTATGTAATTATACAGACAATCAACAAGTGGGAGGGCCGCCAACCACAAGGCAAGGAAGGGGTCTCAGCCGCCTCACAGCCACTGCCAAAACTTTTATTGCTCACTCCACGGCGATCGTGAAGAAGGCTAAACCTGAAGCCGCCTGGAAATGTGAAAAAATGTGAAAATGATTGGGGAGCATTATTTTCAAATTAGCGCGTGGCTTAAAGATAAGTTGGGGCAGGGTTTGTCCTCCCCCTTTTGGCCCGACTTGCCCCAGACACTCGACCAATTTCAAGTGCTTTATGCCTCATGGTTCCCCCTCCCGAAATAAAACGAAAAATGGAGTGTGGGACCCCTCAGAGAAATACCCTTTCTTGGGGGGGAGTTATTGAGTTTAATAATTTTACTTGTTGAAATAAACAAATAAATACAATTTGTTATAATAAAGTTATGGATTGTGCCTCAAGAAATACATTTTAAGAATGGCAGAAATAAAATGAAATATAATTTTACAAATTTTGAAACATTAAGTCAGATTAAATGAAGTTTGACAAATAAATATGATCTATTTATTGATTTCATTGCTAAAATATCACCTAAAACTTAAATACTGTTTTATTTTAAATTTATACAAGATCATAAACAGGAATATGTTAAATGGTACTCCTCATATTCCCTCCATAACTTTCAGCATTTATCAGTAAATTATAATTAATACCTTTTAAGAATGAGAATAGAAATCTTTACAGTGGTAAACCCTCCATTAACCATTAACCCTACCCCCTAGAAGGGCATTCT